CTATTTTTTGGTAAAACTTTAATTAACGCTATAGGAATGGCCTTATTATTAAAAGAATCTTGTTAATAGGTATTACTAGACATAAGAAAAAAAATAAAAAATAAAAATCCCAATGTTAAACAATTTACAATCCTTTTACATAAATTTCGTTCAACATTTTTGTGAATTCCACGCTCACATGAGAGAATTGTGTTTATTTCTGTAATTGATTTGTGTGTGAATAAAACAACTATTTATTATTATAAATTTTATTTGTTTCGAAATATATGTTCTTCCTTTTAAAAAAAAAAAAATAAAATTGTGTGTTGCTAAGCACTTGGTGGCATTTGAATTTTTAGATTTTTGGTGAAAAATGAAAAGGAATAAGGAAAAAAGAAAAAAGAAAAATAAGTTTAAATATATGTATTTTTTTTGGCAATTTTTTTAGTTGGATTAGAAAATAAATAAGTATTTGTGAACAAATTCTATTTATATATATATATATATATCTTTTCATTTCGTTTTCATTGATAAATCGAATATTCAAACAGAGTATTCTGACTTATATCATATTTTATAACTCTTATTGTTTTCAATACGCTTTTCTTATTTACCTGCTTAAATATAAATTTACAAAACAAAGTTTTTATAAAATGGTCTTGCTAACCATCGTTCATTGACTATTGAGTGAGAACTAAATAATGTAAATAATAATAATAATAAGTAAAATTTTGAAATATTTGCATACACTTTTATGCATGAAAATGCTAACCATCGTCTATTTAACTATGATTAATGTTGGTATATATGTAAAAAAAAATATATTAAAATATGCATAAAACACGTAAAAATGTATGAACATATGTCAAATGTTTATTAAAATTTTATATTTTTTTGACATGATTTAATTCTTAACAACCACATAATGGCCGATTACTCATAGTAAGGCAGTAATTAGAATTTTTTTATTATGAAAACTAGTTTTACTTAACTAAAAATAAATGAATAAAACTAGTTTCTTTTTTTTATATAGTTTTTTTAAAAGGTTTTCACCTTCAAAGTTAATATTAATTTTTATTTTATATTTTTTTATCAACAATGATAGAGACTACTAATTTTGAAGCTCTAACAAGACCACTAATGACATGGCACTCAATAAAAAAAAAATACAATACCAAGAACAAAATATCAAATCATTCCTGATGGGGTCTACTGCCACATCACTAGTGATAGTACTAATTAGTGCTCTCACTCATTTTCCAAAGCAATATTAATATTAACTTTTAAAAACAAAACTATTAAAAGAAGGGAATAATATTTATATGGGAAAATTTCAAAAAAACTATACATATATATATTAAATGATGGAGGTATAAGATTTGTTTACATAAATAACTTTGTACCTCCATAATTTTGAAATTATTTTTTTACTCTCTATTTTTTTAATATTCGCTTATTTATTTTAGATTGATAAGGCATACCAACCACCACGACGGGCATCTGAAAAGGCGTTAGAAGCAGCATTTCCATTCCAACCTTTTTTTCATTTTTTTTAATATATTTTTTTAATTTTTGTTATATCTTTCTCGATATGTAATGGGTTGGATTAGGTAAGGGATGCCTAATAATAGCATAATTCAAGCAATTTTTATTAAAAAATAGTAAATTTTAAATTGAGTAACAATATACAAATATATATATATATATATATATATATGGTGTAACATTGTCAACAACGAGCGAAGGATCATCTGTTATGCTTGCCATGAACGTACTTGAGTATTCCCACAGATGGCACCAATTGTAGAGAGGTGGTTTGGAAATACTCCTGAATTCAGTCTGACGTCCCTGATCATTTGATCATTACCTGAAAAAGGGATGAACACTCCGGTCGGAAATGCCGGAATTAATTGTACGGGGAGGAAATAATTCTCCTCGTATAATCCTGTTGACCAAGTCCACGCTTCTCCGTACGACGTCGCTTTGTCACCTGAAAACACAAACGTGAGCTAGCCGGCGGGTGTGTGCCGGAAACCTCTCCGATGCCTAAGTCAGAAAACTTGACAAATAGACAAAGCTCTAAGTTCTCAGAAAGATTGTGTTCAATTACCTCCTCCAAGGTGATGCTTGTGAGCCTTTATAAGTTTCCGTGGCACAATCCTAGTAGGACTTGTACTTCTCCATGCAGAGTCCTCCTAGGATTCATTCTCCTAAGGATAATGCTTATCCTTTTACACCCTCCCCCACTGCTTAAACCAAGTGGGATGGTTTTCTTTATGGCCGAACTTCCATTTGACCGAAGTAAAATTGGCTATACCGAGCCACAGAGGGCCGAACTATCCTTAGCTCGGTCTTCCCCTCTAACTCCTTACTTCGGCTGCCCTGTTCAACCTTGATGTGCTTAGATCAAACTTCCAAGTAATAAGTTCTGACTGACCTAACCATTGTAAGTCACGACCGGACTAATTCCGAAACCGGCCTTCACAGAACACACAGCGACCGGACTAACTCTGAGACCGGCCTAACTCCGAGTCGCCTCCGGACCGGAGTAGTTTCACTCTTCCTTGGGCCGACGTAACTATCTCTGCTTGAGCCGGAGTAATCACACCTCCTTAGGCCGGAGTAACTTTGCCGGAGTAACCTTGCTCTTCCTGGGCCGGAGTATCCTTTACGGCCTTTTTTACTCAGTCCTTCGCGTTTTGGGCCTCAAAGCCCAACTCGCAGCTCGGCCCAATTTTTCCCAAAAATTACCCTCTCAGTTAGTTTGCTAGTTTGTTGTATGGACTACTATGTATTGTTTTATATTTTTAATTGAAGTTCTTATTTTTGCCAAAAAAAAAAAAAAAACTAATTTTAAACTTATTTATCGAACTCATTTTGTTTTCTGAAATTGTATTCTCTTTGAAATCACGATTTCAAAATGCAGTTTTATTAAAATCATATATTCAAAACACAATAGCCGAGCTAATTTTACTCCGGGCCCTGTTTTGTCCGGTCAAAAACGTCTCTTCAATCATAGCGTCTGTAACGCTTCTCATTCCAGTGACACGTGGCAGGCTCTGATTGGCTAAGGACGGCTGTCACGCCGTCTTCGTGCTTCGTGAATTTGAAACAGTTCCCGCCCTTTCTGCTTTTACACAGGACAGTCCCTTTCATTTTTCGACTTACTCACTCTATTGCTGTTCATCTTCTCTCTCTGAGCCTCTGCTTTTTCAACTATTATCAAGCTCGTGTTTCTTCGTTTGCTGTGACCGTTCCATCTGTAGTTCCTTCTTCAATCTGGTAAGTAAATCCATTTTCTTCTTCTGTTTTCGCTTATGTTGCTTTCTATGCTTTTGCGAAACATTTCTTCCATTTTTGCTGTGCTTCTGTATTTTTACGAAAAAACCAATAGAACTCATGTGTGTATGAACTATTTTGTAGGAAAATAGTCTTAGATCCAAAATCACCTAGCAACCGGACTAGGATACTGTTTGTGTTATGTATGTAGATAGATTCAGAAAATAACCGAACTAGAACTTGTAGGAATATCAGTAGTTTCTTCTGAACCACTCTAGTCAAGATAAGATCACCGAACAAACGTGCACATACCGAACTAGGTACTTCGGTCTATAACCGAGCTAAGCTTTCGGGGCCAAGCCGGCTTTCTTAGTTCTCAAACCGAACTTAGAAAGCCGCCCCTAGGGGCTCAACCGAAGTAACTTTCCTCACACTGCAACCGATTTAGGCCTTGGGACTAAACCAGCTTTCTTAGTTTTTAGACCGAACTCAGAAAGCTGCCCCTAGACATTAAACCGGTCTAAACTGCTCAAAACCGAGCTAACAAACCTTCTGATGAACCGAGGTAGAACCAGCCCACTAAGCCGAAGTAGGATTTGTATATCTTGCTTATAATTTGTAGCGCGGTCCAACGATCTGTGCTTAACCCCTTTGTTTTCTACTTTGCAGACTTAGGTTGCCCAGGCACTCCTGCGTGTGCTCAACCGAGCTACTGAGCACAATTTTTGCACCGAAATAACTTATCCGTAAATTATACAACAAATGGGTAAGTATAGGTATTTAGTTGAGACCCCTGGCGGGATGGCCGAATTCAGGAAGGACTATAACATACCGGATGACGTCCATTTGACTTTGGCCGAAAAAGACATCACACCCTGGGATAACGAAGGCTTCGTCCCTTTACTCTTCAATCCATAATAGAAACCGGACTACGGTTTCCCGTACAACCGTTGATCTGTGAGTTCCTTAGGCAAACTAGGTTATGCCCCACCCAACTGTACCCAATACATACCGTATTATTATGGGAATAGCCGCACTAAACCACAAAACCGGTTTAAACCTCGGCCTAGCCGAAATATTCACATCAATATTCCATCGGCTCGAAAGATGCTGGGTGGGTTTTACTACCTTAGGATCCGCCGCCGCCGAGAGAAGATTGTTAAGCACACACCGGACAAAGACCTTAATGATGATGACTTCTTCTGGGTCTCTGGGAATTTTGAGGATTTTCAAGCCCAAATTCCTGGCCGACCTATAAATTGGAAGAAGGGAGAGCCTGGTAATCTGACTTCGGTCTTCTTATTTGTATTTTATTTCGGTTTTTGTTAGTTAATAGCCGAACTAACACTTCTCTTTCTTGCAGACTTCGCCCATCTCCACTCCTTGTATAGTTATCCAAACCTTGCAATTTTGCGAGCCGCGCTACGGATTAAAGAAAGAAGTTGGGCCAAGCTTCTAAATTTTGAACCGACGTACCGATATAGCGGGCGCCGAAAAGCAAGAGTAACCGATTTCCTACTTGAGGAAGCACCAGAGCCGGACCCAAACTTGCCGCAAATAAGATTAGTTCCTTTGACTGCCGAAGAGGAAATGGCCAAGAAGAGCAGAGTGAGGGCGCTTCTGACCGAAACAAGTAGGGCCGAAGTACCGTCACCAAGCCAAACGCAGCCTGCCGTCGTGGCCCTCCCAACTCAACAACCGTCTTCATCGCGCCGCACCAAGCGCGCCCGAACCAACTTTGGTTGATGAAGATGAGACTGTTACTCCACCAATCTTGCCACCGAGCCCCCAACCGGAACCTACCAACCGAACTGCCACCCGTTGGGTACCAAAATTGACTTTTAAAAACCGAGATGTCGAGGATGCTGATTCGGTTGTCGCCGAAAAAGATCACGAGTTGGCCTTTAATCTGGCTAAGGGAGTGTGCCTCCCCAAGGATATGGAGCATCACAGAAAGCAGCTAAACACCGAATTAAAGTCCATTCGGTCTGCAACGAAGTCCATGATCCTGGTATGCTGCTCTGTTCATTTTTCTTACTGACTTTGTGAACTTTTATCTCGGCTCATGGGAAGTCCTTGTCTTTTGCCAGGCAATTCAAAAAAACTACCATACTCACAAGAAGGTGCTGGAACTCAGACAAACTGCAAGGGATGCTGTTGCAGAAGCCGAAGTGAAGTCGGCCGAAGTAGAAGAAATCAAGAAGCAAATGGCCGAGCTTCAAGCTGAGAACAGCAGGCTGACCGGACTGGTTAGTTCGGCTGAGGCAGAAAGGCAGAAGACTGCCATAGCTCTTAAGGACAAATACCTGCGCGAGCTGGTGAAGCTCGAAAGAAAGAAGGATGCCGAAATAAAGGAGAAGGTAAATGAGGCTGACAAACAAGGCTTCAAGAGGGCAGAGGATGCTTATGCCCAACAATGCAATGCTGCCAAGGAGCTGTTCTTTAAGTGCGGCTGGAGGGGAGCCGTTGAGTAGCTCGGTCATGATCCTCAGACCGAGGTTTTCAACCCTCCAGCCTACTTTATACCGAACTCCCTGATGGAGTATGCCAAGGCCATGCAACAGCAGTTCCTTGAGGGTTCATATGATGAAGACACTGATGAAGACTCTGCCCTTGAGGATACTTCGGTTGTGAATGCAGATGAGGTAGTTCGGTCGGAGCCCGTGGTGGAAGGTCCAACTATTGATCAACCAAGTGAAACCGTGGCTCCGGCCAAAACCATTCTGCCTGCTGAAAACGTCCTTGCTCCTGAATTCGGTCTTCAGGTTGATGCCGATGCTGCCTTCGATGCCGAGATCGAAGATCTTTTTTCCTGACTTTGTACTTTTTGTTTTCTTTGTAACCGAACTAAGCCCCCTTGTAATGACTTCTCTTTTGAATGAAAATTCTGCTTCTCTTATTCCGGTTGTTATATGTACACCAGTGCTTTGTAATGTCTTCTATTACTCCAACTGTTATTTCGGTTTTAGCTTTCTAAACTATGCTTACCAGCCAACCACTCCTTAGCCAATATGCTTACTTCGGCTGAGGAGTACAAAGTGTTTGGTTTATTCCAGCCAACCACTCTTCAGCCATACACTTACTTCGGCTGAAGGGTAACAAGTGTTGGTTTATTCCAGCCAACCACTCCTCAGCCATGCACTTACTTCGGCTAAGGAGTACAAAGTGTTGGTTTATTCCAGCCAACCACTCCTTAGTCATGCACTTACTTCGGCTAAGGAGTACAAAGTGTTGGTTTATTCCAGCCAACCACTCCTTAGCCATGCACTTACTTCGGCTAAGGAGTACAAAGTGTTGGTTTA